TATTCCTACATATATTAGGTATTGCCATAGTTAGGTCTCTTATAGGATACTCTTTCTCATTGTTAGATTTCTAGTAGGATACTATTTCTTAGTTTATATATACAGGCCTTCTATGGTATTCAATACAATTCATTCAATACAATACATATTATTTTTTTTCTCTCTCTACTATTCTAACACTAATTCCTAGTAGCTTAAGCTTTTGGGCTAATTAGTGACTTAACAAGATCATGTTCAGATAATATAGATACTTTGGTACATTTGATATTGTAGCTAACCTTACATACGGAGATGCTTTGTGTACAATCAAATTACTAGTATTATTCATGGCTTCATAAATTTCATATTATGGCCTTTTGTTCCTTGTCCTTAAAAATGGTTTCAAATATCCTGTTTTGGAAATTATGGATCCACTTATCAATATATCCCATCTCTCTGTCTTTGAGCTTATTTTGCTGATGTTTTGGGTCATTGTAGTTAATGTAAAAATAAACTCCTTTTTTCCTTGTAGAAAGTGCAAAACGAGCTGCTGGACGTATACAGCACCCAATTACTTGAAATGGAGAATTCTAGATGCCGTGTTTTGCTTAGAGATGATAAGGTATTATTATATGGAGTTGCGTTATTTCATTGTTTAGAGAACGTAAAATATGGTCATCTGAAATAAAGCCATATATGATAAGTAATATCTCCAATTTGTTTTCTCATCTTAGGTAGAGGATCTCTCTACGATGTATAGACTATGCCATAAAATTCCTAAAGCTTTGGAACCAGTTGCTAATATATTTAAACAGGTATGTTTTCTTCTTCTTCTTCTTTCTCATAATTTGTGGAGCTAAAGGAGCCTTTGGACTTTATTATCTTTTCTCTTATTGACATTTTGTGTGGAATTGCTGATGCAGCATGTTACTGCTGAAGGTGTATGATGTGTCCTATGTAGCAAAAGTTGTTAGATATAACAACACGGAAATATAACATTCATTTTTCATTAGTCATAAAATAGAGATGTAACTTAAAAAAAAAAGATCCTCACAAATGGCTGTAACTTGAGCCGGAAGACTATTCATCATTCTTTGTGATACAATCAAGATTTGAGGACCAACTTTTGAGAACAGAAGGCACACAATCAAGCGAAAGAAGCTGGTTTTTTTCAAGTTGCATGATTAAACATAATTTTTAAATTTAGGTCATTATGTCTTTTAAGAGTCTTGTCACTAGGTGTATTTTTGGGAGTTTTCTTAATTGTTAGGAAACTGTGATATCTTTGAGGTGGCTACTAGTAGGAGGGGAACTGTATATAGACTTGGGCCCTCCGATTTTCGCAAACTCTTTTGTTGTATGTGTGGATTTGGTGTTACATAACAAATACCTTTTTTACCTGGCGTCCTCCTATTTAATGCTCCAATCTCTTTAATAGCTCTCCAACTATGTGTTTCAGTAATATAAATAATACAATAATAATGATATCTGTATTAAATATAGGAGTTATGAATTTTTGTGAGAAAAGTTACAAATATTTGTGATATGACAAAAGTTACCAATGGTGAATTTTTTGTGCGCGCTCCGAAAATAAAAGTTACGAACTATTTTGATTACAAATTTTATGAATTATTCTGATATTTTTTACCCAAAGAAAAAAAAAAGAAGTTAAGAACCATTTCGGTGAAAATTTACACAAATACCAAACATAAATAAAAAATAAAATAGATTATTGAAAATTTATTTAATATATTATTAAAAATAAATATTAATTTATTTATTTTTATATTCACGAGTCTTATCGAGTCGAGTTTAGTACTACTCGAGGTTGGCTCGATTAATAAACGAGTCTAGAGCTCGTTCATTTAGTGAGCGAGTCGAGGTCAAACAAGCTTTAAAGGAGTCAATCTTGAATTGTTCATGAACAGCTCGATTCGTTTGCAGTTTTAATAGGGAGAGAACCCTTGTGCCTTGTTTGGCAGATTAGGTAGGATGAGATTGTTAGTAATAGGATGCTTAGCGAAGAGATTGTTAATGTGAGGATTATTAGTAAAGGGATTAAGTAAAAGTGTATTTGTTTTGATGATAATATGAGAGATGATTAGTGATAGGATTGTTAAATTATTTTTATAGAAAATAAATAAATAAATTATTTTTATATTAAAAAAAACTAAAACAAATATTAAAACAAACCGGTGCACTTGGTAAAAAAAATAAATTTTTTTATATAAAATAGAGTCAATCACCCTCACTATTTTTCTAATTCTACCTATAATCCAGCTAAGTTAATCCTTTTACTAAAGGGGTTACTAAGCTCCTTGGACTATCAATCAGCCCTCTCATTTCACTACCAAACATGCTATGGTTGGGACCTACAACCATGGCAATCCAATTCAGCCACTCAAGCTGCGAAACAAACATAGCCTTAGGGAATACAACTGGCTTTTTAATTTTTTTTAATTATTTTAGTTTGATTAAAAAAATTATGTTCGGAATAACAGTTGACTTTTTTTAGTTGATTTGATAATTGTAACTAAAAAATAAGATTATTTATTTAGGTCACATTATTTTTCTATATATTTGACTTGGGTCGGCCACTTGTAATTTGGTGGGATATCCTTTATAATCAGCTATCTTGCTTTTCAAATTCCAAACGTTCTTTCTATTACACTTCTAAGTGATGAATATGCTTGGTTGAATTTTTCTTGTGCATTTTTTGGGGGGAGGGGGCTGACTATGTTCAAATTGAGCTAGATGATATCTCTCTCCTGTGTAAGGTGCAAAATATCCTTTCATATTTGAATACCCAACATCCACCAAGTAAAACTCATCTAATTTAAAATTTCAAATATTAATAAAATAAAGTAAGCAATTATAAATGAAAAAATAAATATGAAGATGTGAGTTTGGTACATCTATTCTCGTGATCAAATAAACAATTACCTCCTTGTGGTTTTGGAAAATTATAATTAGGATTCGTAATTGTATTTCAGAAGATCCGAGTATCATGTGCACTTCCTTCCTATCCTGGTAAGCAAAATGTGAAACACATATCAAAGTCACATGCAGCTATAATGTTTTGAGTCGCATACCCCTTTCTACCTATTAAACAAGGTTGCTTATTGTAGACCGCCCAGAACTCTGCTCCGCGCTCGAGGGCGCGAATCGTGGTTCTAGCTACTTGTCACGCCCCAAACTTGCCCCTAAAATTTCGGGCATGACCTACTCAGAAACAGACACTTATCCTGCTACATATATATATATATATATATATATAATATCCGGGGCCTGAACGGAAGTGTTAATATAATAGAATAACATGCAGACACATCCATTGAGCGACTACAAATATGCCAGGACCACGACTCGGAATTAAACATCTAGTGAACATGTATTTGAGATTAAGTTACATACACATTTACAAGTCCAGCCCAGAGGTTAGGCATATAACAAACATTAGATACAAATCTACTTCAGCCCACAAAACATTAGTACAAAATGACAAAGTCTAGCAAAACTGTACTAGCATGCAAAGGGCTTCTCCAAGTGCCTGGTTGTCCTTAGGTTGACAAAAGATAGATGATAACGATGCTAGGACTGACCTCCAAGTTGATTACCTATAGAATCAGACAAAATTACAGAGTGAGACGAGCTCAGTGAATAATAGTACTTAAGCAGTTTAATAACCAACTTTAACCACAATGCATAACAGTGCATTCACAAAAATGAAATCCAAATAGTGAGTCTGATATTGTTTTACTTTCAAAACGGCCTTGGGCCTAGTATTACAGTTATAACAGAACGGCCTACTGGCCTAGAAATACAGAACAACCTTTCGGCCCAGAAGTATACTGAACAGCCTTTCGGCCCAGAAATGTACAGAACGGCCTTTCGGCCCAAAAATGCACAGAACAGCCTTTCGGCCCAGAGATATATAGAAATGTAGTTAACCTTACATTGTCACCAAGTTCCGACCGATACATATGTTAATGTCGTGTCTACCAGAAAACAGAATGGTCATAACAGATATTAACGGTAAATAAATGTACATTCCGTGTACTATTACTCACAATGTTGTTGCGGAGCGGTGGTTCCTCCGGTGGTGTGTCCTACACACATAGATAACACATATTAGTTTCTTTCTTCTTTTAAACCATTTCTTACATTTTTACATTTCAATTGCATGTACAATCATAAACAGGTATCAAACACAAATTCCAAAAAGAGCTGAGGGTTAAAGCACGTAAAACGGAGCGAACGGAATTTTCGACCTGGGCTGCACGTGCGGCCATACCCTCCGCTCGTGCGGACATGTACCGCACGTGCGGTCCCCCTCCACCGCTCATGCTGCCAAAAACAGTATGCTTTCCCAAATTTTTTCCTCTTCTCCGCACATGCGGCCACGACCTCCGCACGTGCGGTCTGGCCCCCGTTTGGCAGTCCGAAAATCATACAAAACCCCATGTTTGGTGATCAACAAGAAGATCCAAATTAGATGCTTTAAATGCTAAAATATGGTGCAAAGATCATGTAATTAAGGGTGCAAACACACAACTATTTGAATCATGGAAGATCAATTAATCATCACCACAACCTATGTCTCTTACATACACATATATACATATATGGCTATATATATACACATATGGGTTCCAACATGGTAATTCAAGAAACAAAATTAAGTTAACACAAGCAAGTAGTAGAATCATCTTACCAATACATCAATACATCCAAAACCCTCATTACAACTCTAGGGTACACCATAACAAGCAATTCCTTCTCCAAATTAAAAAGAAAGGGTTGAATTTGGGAAACTTAGACTTACCTTGAACTTCACTATCTAGATCTCCTTTCAATCTCACAAGTCTCTACCTTCTTTGATGAGCTACTCCTCACAACCCTTCTCTCAACTAAGTTCTTCCTCCAGGAGATATTAAGTCAAAATGATCCAAGAACTTTGATATATAGAGATATTTCTATAAGGGTGAATAAGACAAAAATTCAATCGTTTAAGCATCCCAAATTGAAATTCCACAGAAAATCCCATTATAGCTTAAAAATCATGCAGATTTCAAATGTCAAATCAATTTCAGAAAATTAAGTCTCTAAGGCTTCCAATTCCGGATTCAACCAATTTAAGTACGATAGATAATTTTCTTATTCAACAGATAGGAATCCATATTTCCAAGTTTCATTTAATTCAATGTAGTTTCACATAGAATTTCACAATAAGCATTCAAAAACACAGAATAGAGGACTGAAAAGACACCAGAATCATGTACGAGGGTTGGGTCATTACACCCTCCCCCCCTTAAATAAGTTTGGTCCTCCAAACTTGTTTTACCTTAGGACGGAAACAGATGCGGATATTGATGTTGCATTTCATCTTCCTTTTCCCAAGTTGCCTCGGTTCCCTAGTGCTCTTGCCATTCCACTTTTACCATTGGAATTTCTTAGTTTCGTAACTGTTTTACTTGACGGTCCAGAATTCGAGTTGGTTTTTCCTCGTACGTTAACTTGTCAGTCAACATAATTTGGTTATAATCAATAACATGTGACGGATCTGGAAGGTACTCTCGGAGCATAGAAACATGGAACACGTTATGAATCTGACTCATATGTGGTGGAAGGGCAACTCGGTAGGCTATTAGGCCCACTTTTTCTAAGATCTGGAAGGGACCAACATATCGGGGTGTTAGCTTACCCCTTTTCCCAAATCTTGGATGTCCTTTCATTGGGGTAACTTTCACAAAAACATGACTATCCACTTCAAACTCCAAATTCCTTCGCCGGTTATCCGCATAACTCTTCTGTTTACTTTGGGTAGTTTTTAATCTTTCTCGAATAATTCTAACCTTTTCAGTTGTCAACTGGACAATCTCTAGCCCTAACAATGGCCTATCTCCAACTTCAGCCCAACACACGGGAGAACGACACGGTCTTCCATACAGAGCTTCATAGGGTGCCATTTCAATACTCGAATGGTAGCTGTTATTATACGCAAACTCAACCAACGGCAGATGAGTTTCCTAACTTTCCTGAAAATCCAAAACACACATTCGAAGCATATCCTCTAGCGTCTGAATCGTCCTCTCGGATTGTCCATCTGTTTGAGGGTGGAAAGTTGT